AGAGTTTCTCTCAAAGGAGTTTAGTAGTTTCTGTGACCAACATGAAATCAAGAGAGAACTTACAGCCCCCTATACTCCTGGACTAAATGGTATAGCGGAACGAAAGAACTAGACTATTGTCGAGATGGCAAGATCGATGCTTAAAACCAAGAACTTGGAAGACGAGTTTTGGGCCGAAGTAGTAGCAACAGCTGTTTTTCTGATCAACATATCTCCTACGAAAGCTGTTTGGAATGTCACTCCCTACGAAGCTTGGTATGACTCTAAACTCTATGTCAATCATTTGCATATATTTGGATGCATATGTTATGCTTTGATTCCTTCCGGTAGAAGCAAGTTAGATCAAAAGACAAAGAAATATATATTTGTGGGGTATTCTTCTAGCTCCAAAGCATATAGGTTTTTCGATCCAGACAAATATTATATTGTTATCAATAGAGATGTGCAGTTTAATGAGCAAGAAGTCTGGGTTAAGAACACCAGCAGTTCAATAATTACAAAAGTACAAGAAGGCCTTCAAGAAGAACAACCGGTTAATGACCAAAGCGATGACAACAACAGTGACTTAGAACCTTCAAATGGAACTCATGGTAGCTCTTCAAATGGTAGCAACAGTTTAGAGTCCTCTCAAGAAGATACAAACCATGAAGAAATGCAACCACGAAGAAGTAAGTGTGGCAACATTCCAAAAAAGCACTTCGAGAGTGAAGGAAAAAGTTGTGATTTTGCCTTATTTGTTGGTGATCCAACAAATGGCAAACTTGCAATAAACAATGAAGTTTGGAGAACAACTATGCAAGAAGAAATCAGTGCCATAAAAAAGAATGGAACTTGGAAGCCAGTTGAACTACCTAAAGAAAAGAATGCAATTAGTCTTAAGTGGATCTTAAAGACAAAATTCCACTTGATGGAACAATCCATAAGCACAAGGCCAGATTGGTGGTACGCGGATATGTTCAAGAACAAGGAATAGACTTCGAAGAAATATTCTCACCCTTGCAAGATTTGAAACAGTGAGAGTTATTCTAGCATTGATTGCATAAATGCAATGGTCAATTTTCCAGTTTGAGGTGAAGTCTGCATTCTTAAATGGGGAGTTAAAAGAGGAAGTTTATGTTCAACAACCAAAATTTTTGAAGTCCTCAAAGAAGAGCACAAAGTGTACAGAATGAAAAAAGCACTATACGGTTTAGGCAAGCCCCTAGAGCTTGGTACAAAAAATTAGATGAAATTTTTCATCAAAATGGGTTTGAAAGAAGCCCCAATGAGCCAACATTATACGTAAAGATGCAAGGAGCTAAATACATTATGTTGGTAAGTTTGTATGTAGATGACATGATCTACACAAGTTCATCTATGAAACTTATTTCTGATTTTAAGAATGATATGATGAACAAGTTTGAAATGACTGACTTGGGCAAATTGAGCTTCTTTATTGGCCTTGAAGTACAACAGAGAAGAAATGGTATATTTCTATCTCAACAAAAGTATGCCATAGAGCTTTTGAAGCAATTCGGTATGGAAGGCTATAAAATAGTAGGAACACCAATGAATGTGAATGAGAAATTGGTTATTGATGATGGTACAGGGTTGACAAATGCAAGGAAGTTTAGAAGCCTTGTGGGACATTTGATATATCTCACTCATACAAGACACGACTTAGCATATGCGGTTAGTCATGTATCACGGTTTATGCACTGCTCGAGTAAGCAACATTTTGGAGCAGTAAAGTGGATCTTTCGATATATCGTTGCTACAACAGCATATGGAATTTGGTATTCAAAGCAAAAAGCATTTGAATTGACAGGTTACACTCATAGTGATTGGGCAAGAGGAAAAGGAGATATAAAGAGTACAAGTTGAAATTGTTTCACTCTTGGATCAGGAGTAGTCACTTGGGCATCAAAGAAGCAAGCTACAATAGCTTTATCATCAACAGAAGCCGAGTACGTTGCCGCAACAGCAACAACTTGCCAGGTTGTATGACTGAGGAGGGTGCTGAGTGACTTGAATCAAACACAACAAGAAGCCACTACCATATTCTGTGACAACAGGTCAACAATTGCCATAACAAAGAACCCGATATTACATGGTAGGACTAAACACATCGAGACTAAACATCACTTTATACAAGAGTTAGTTGCTGAAGGAAAAGTGCAGCTGCTATCCTGCAAGTCAAAGCAACAATTAGCAGACTTATTCACCAAGTCTCTTCCAAGAGCCATGTTTGAAGAATTTTGAGATCAACTACTCATCACTAACTTTGAATCAAGGGGGAGTATTGAAGACTAAGTCAAGTCTCTGATTTAAAGTTAGGTGCTAGAATGAAGGGAAGTATTTAGAACGTTAGCTTCTGATTCCTTTTAACTGTTTTTTAGGTAGTTTCCTGCTTTTTAGCTTTTTTTGTTTTATGTAAAGCCTATAAAAAGCTAGCTTCTGGTGAAATAAAATACACAACGGTTTTTACCCAAAACCATTACTTTCTTGCTTTGTCAATTTCCAACACAATTACCATTAATGAGCTTGAGATGAATGATGAAGATTGATAGAGAATCGAGAGCATCTAAACAATGAAAAATAATAAGTTTATTTTTTCCGTCCTCAATCAAGCCTACTAGGCTACTACTACGAAAAATGAACTGGGCCGATGATGCTCCTTTGGATTCTCCTGCACATGAAGATCGCTCTCAGGAGCCACAACCTATAGCCAAGGCCAGCCCTGCAACCACAACGCTAAAGGGATGGAGGTTCTTAAACCGGTTTATGAAAAAAGCTACAACTTAGAGGGGCCGGTCCCTTCCATCTGGCGAATGAAAGGTTCATAAACGGGAATCAGTTCCTTTTGGTTTTAGTGGGACTCTATTATAATTTAAAATGTATTATAGTTTTACTAGAATGGTACTCGCGTAATGCAGCGCGATACATCTCGGTTTTAGTGTTTCATTTTATTTTGTTCCATGTCGATGTTATAATACGGTTTTATATAATTTTGAGAAAAAAATAATGTTTTTATTTTTGAATAAAATATAAATTTAAAAATATCATAAACAATTGAAAAAAATATATTAACATTAGTATCAAATTAACTATTGAAAATTCTTGTTTTGTTGTATAATTTCTTTAATTCAAAATTTTTTATTATAATTTAATTTAGGTTTAATAAGAAGTATTTATTTTTTATTTAATAATATAATTTTTTATAAATATAAATATTAAGTATTCTGCTAGAACACAATAATTATCCTAATTATATTTTAGATTTTTTATATTTAAAATAAAATTTTATTTTGTATTTGATTATGTTTATCTGCAGTTAAAGTAGCATTGATAGATGAACAAAGAGAACAAGTGAAATGCCTGGATTCCAGTGTCATATGAGTACTAACCCCTAATCATTATGTCTGGAATCACAAAAAAGAACATTTTTCATTGATGCATTCGTTTCATCATGAAAAACCCCCTAGAAATTGAATCTTGAATAACAAACAAAAGATTGAAGAAAACAAGGAAACGAACCTTGAAAGATGTTGACTTTGTTTGAATAAAAAACAAAAGATTGTAGAAAATACGTATAGTATGAATAAATGAAATTGAAATCGAAAATAAAAATAAAAGATTGAAGGAAACTAACCTTGGAAACTTGCAATATTTCTGTATCCTGAAGCACCTGCTTCGAATATATATGAGTAGAAGATATGATAGAAATGAAAAACGATATGTATATTTGTCTAAATTTGTTGAGTTGTTGTCTGATCACTACAATAAAATCGGTTTTGTAGGACCCTCTCAAATCCTAAGTGTTCTAATAGACCTCTTTATAGGACTTAGTTTATAGGACCAAAAAAAATTAAGTGTCTTATCTAAAGGTGTTGTAACAAATTTATATGACCTTTTTTTGACGTCGTAATAAGTTTTTTAGGACACTTTTAATATAAACCATTCCATTATCAACTTTATAGGACATTTTTGAGAAAATGTTCTATAAAATCAATTTTTTATAGAATATTTGTTTTTATAGGACAATTTTTCAAATAGTGTCCTATAAAGTTGATAATGAGACACTTTATATTAAAAGTGTCCTAAAAAAACTTATTACGACACAAAAAACGTCATATAAACTTATTACAACACCTTTAGATAAGACACTTTATTTTTTTGGTCATATAAATTAAGGTTTATAAAGAGGTCTATTAGGACATTTAGAATTTGAGAGTATCCTAAAAAACCGATTTTGTTGTAGTGGATGGAGGTTATCTAAACTGTTGAAATTGATAGAAGGATATGGATGAAGCAATCCGCCGGATGGAAGTTATCTAAATCTGTTGAAATAGATAGATAGAAGGATATGGATGAAGCAATTCGCCTTCTGAAAGTTATCTAAATATGTTGAAATAGATAGATAGAAATATATGGATGAAGCAATTCGCCTGATGGAAGTTATCTAAATCTGTTGAAATAGATAGATAGAAGGATATGAATGAAACAATCGAGTAATGGAAAGATATGGGTAAAGTTGATAAATCTGAGGATCTGTTAAAAGTTGATAGATTAGGGATGATTAGATTTGTTTAATAGGTTGACCCAAAACATTGAGAATTTGTAACATTGAAAATTAAGTAATTTAGCATAAGATATTAGTACATAATGCTTTGAAAGTTAGTTTTAAGAGATTGAGTCAAATGCTTTATAATATAGTATAGATATATTCTAAGTTATTTACGATAGTTGCTTCTCTTTTTTTTTAAACGAGATCAACCTCATTTATTTATTTCTTGGTGATCAGAAAGTTAAGATTAATTAACTACAGTTTACAAGTTTTATACTACTAAAAGATATACGAAGCATTATATCATGAATGAAACTTTATTGTAATGAAAATGTTCATCAAATTAAACAACGTAATTTCTTGAAAAAATAATCAAATTAAAACAAGTAACAGAAAAGACTCAAGAATACAATAACGAATTACTAGTACTACTTCCTACACTACTCAACAAATAGTCTCGATCAATCTGCCTCTAACAAAAGATTTACGCTATATATGCCAGGCTACATATCTCCAACACTCTCACCATATAAATTGATAAACTCTTTCTATCTTAGAAGTACACCTGGTCCTCACTGTTGCTCAGCTAATTAGTGTCCCTTTCCTCCTGCACTTGGACCAGAGTTCTTGATGTTCCCAAGAGATTCAGCATCAGAAAATCCATGTCCCTTTCCACCCGGACTTGGACCGGAGTTTTTGATGTCTCCAAGTATCGTATCATCTGTAAAGTCGTGTCCCTTCCCTCCACGACTAGGCCCTGAATTCTTGATATTCCCAAAATAATCAACAGTGGGAAACTCATGTCCCGTTCCTCCTGCGCTTGGACCTCCACCATGTTTAATAGCTGCAAGACTAAATATGTCCATTGTCTCATCAATAGATTTGGCAACATTAATTGGTCGAGCCACTATATTGAAGCACAATGAGGTGAGAAGAAGGAGAAATATGGTGAAAACAAAGTGATTTGTGGCCATTACTAAATTGGGTTTGACAAACAAATTGAGATGCGAATAATTGATGAATTTGGAGAATGAAGATATTGTTTTGTTTGCTAATGGAAGTCTAGAGAAAGAAGAAAGAATGTGGGTTGTAGAAATGGCATGAAGGTGATGGTATATATATACCTTATGCCTGCATGCAAAAGTGGCAACGAAGCAACCCTAGCAAAGAACGAAGAATGTGTATTAATATTAAAACACGTGAGTGAATAAAAATTTGACCAAAGCCGCCATAATCTGTGGAATGGAAGACCTTTGATTTGATTTCAACTGATGAAGCTTCTGGAGCTATGTGTTAGGGAAGCAAATTAATACAAATATTAATTATATTGCTCTCTTTTTTAAAGTAATATATATATATATATATATATATCATATATACATATACATACAACTTTTGCTTTAAATTCTGGTGATATAATATATATATATATATATACATATATATATATATATATAGTGAATTGATTATGGCAAGCGATGTCACTTTTTGTGATCCACTAAAAGACCAAGTCGTAGTTGCATACGCAATACTATGAACTCCCTCCATATCCTTTCCATGAAGGTTCTCAATCAATGTAAACTAATATTTACTCACGATGGTGGAAATAAAATTTTATCATTATCATGTAATATTACCATTAGATGAATTAATATGCTATTACGTAGATATCCTTTAATAATGGAAATTCCCGCTAGTAATTGTTGGCGGATCGGACCGATCGTAGTCAATAATTGACCCATATCCATTGATTTTCGTTGGTATGAGTCGGTAAATTAAAAAAATAACTTGATATCAGATCAATTTATATTTCGTTGGAATTTATTAAAACTAAAACTTTTATCCATAAAAAAATTATTAATGGATTATAAATGAAATTTCATTTAATTTTTAATAAATTTAGCCGGTATCCCGTCAATAAGTTTACTCATTTTAACAAACAAAAAACTTTTGAATAAAAATGCCGACAAATTATCGACGAAATTTATTTAATTAAAAATTAAATTAAATTCCGTCAATATTATTGGATTTAATAAAACATATAAATTGTTTTCCTGTATTTAATGATCATCAAACATTATAGGACACCAAAGATGAGTATATATACATGGCGAAAAGACACACCTTTTGACCAAAAGACACGACCTTAATGAACATGTATGACAGTTAAATAACTGTCACATCTTTCCAAAAATAACTAATTGATAATTAACTAACTTAATTAACGATAGCCAACGATATTAACGGTCAATTAACCATAACTAGCTTAATATTTTAACACACCCCCTTAAGCTAGGAATGGTTTGACACCCAAGTTTTTCTTCATAATCGTGAAATTTTTTTATGATCCTCTCTCTCAGTGATTTGATGATAATTCCTTTTCACTTATACGTTGTATTTATGTTTCTGTATTTTCAGTTCCAGC